TAACTGACCAGCCTAAGCCTTACACTAAAATAGAAGCAGAAGAGGATTTATAGTGAGAGCTGATAGTACTGAGTCCTATCCACAAACTACAGGATCATGTTGATGTCCCAGGAGGGCAGTAGTGTAATTTTCAGTAAGCTAGGAGGGCTCCAGCTTGGAAAATTGCTTGAACCAATCCTTTCATGAGAGCAAGTGGAACAAAATTAGAACTGCCAGTCAGTGAAAATTTTATTAACTCTTGACTTTCTCTCCAACTTTCTCATTAGAAACTGATATTCTTTCCTATTATTGAATTATTTATTTTTGTCACAGTATTGTAAGAAGTCTGCAGGAATAAATAAGAGGATTCAGGTTAAAAAATTGGTCATTTACTAGGTGGGTCCTGAAAAGCTGTATCACACATTTAATATTGTGAAACTAGTACTTATTTACAATAGAGGAAAACTACACACACAAATGTTTATTGGCAGGAGAGTCAAGTGCAGCCACTATAAATTATACTTGACAACAGTATCTAATGCTATAAATTGTTTAAAAGATTATATAACAAGATAAAGTTTGTAAAAGAAAAAACTGAGAGGTTAAGTGTGTATTTGTATGTGTACAATGAACAAAACAAAACCTCCAAAGACAAGAAAAAATTGTTCACAGCCATTGTAATCCAGTTAGTGAATTTGGTCTTTATAGGATTAATGGTGAATAATTCTAAGGCACTAGAATACAAGGGAGTATCCAGAAAACATTGAGGGAATGTTGAAGGATTCAGGCACCAGCCTGAGACATTCTCAGTGGTAGACTGTAGGACAATGAGAATCAAAGCAAGTAACGAGAGTGATACACTGTAACCAACAGAATAAAATAACATCTATGAATCTATAGCTATATAGCTAAATGATGACATAAAACCCAAATAAATGGGGAGAAGTGAAAGCTCTTCATAGTATAATGTCAGAAATGATGGAAATAAAAATATCAGAATAGAAACAATTACAAAAGACACAAGATCTTTATATAATATCAAACTATCATCCCACCAGATAAGAGTACTTATTAATTATAGTAAGAATAAAAAGGAATTTTATAGTGGAGAGGGCAAGCATTCACCACCAAGTATGCAATTTAATATTACCAGTAATGGATAAATGTATATGATGAGCCTCCTGATACAGTATTTTTAGAGAGCAAAACAGAACTGCTGGGATATTCTCACCAAAAATAATAATTTGAATGTCTTAGTGAGGAAACATCAGGTAGCTTCAAACTGTGAGACACTGCAAAACAACTAGTCAGCACTCTTCAAAACTACCAAGGAAGACAAAGGCATTAAAGAGACATGACGACTAAATGAAATCCTGGTGCACAGAATGGATATCAGTGGGATAATTCATAGTGACAAAATGTGAATGAGTTATGTAGATTAGCTAACAGGATTGGATAAATACTTTGGGGAAAGAGGAAGAATGGTATACAAAATTTCATTGTCATGATTTTAAAACTTCTTATATGTCTGAAAATATTTCAAAATGAAATTTGAAACAAGCTTTGAAAAATCAAATCTGAAAAGGAAAAAGTCTTTTTTCATGGGAAAGGTATAATTCTTAGGAATGACTTTTATTACACTGCTTTTACAAATTACCTAAAGTAAAGCATACAATTCAGGATGAAACATTGCTCTACAAATGACATTTAGAGGTAGCAAAAATATTTAAGAAATATAAATATCATTCCAAGAAATTCTAAGTAAAAACGGACAGTAGGCTCCTTAGTATCTAACAGAATCTCTTTCTCTAATGGTATGTTTAGAAACAGGTGCTAAATTTGGAAATTATAATGAATTTTTGAATTATTGCTGATTGAGTGCTAAGAATTGTCAATTTACTTATCATCCATAATTTTTACATATAATGTAAAGATTATAATGCACAACATTTTCCATGTATAGCAACTGACTTCCTTTTGCACCGTTTGTTTTTCAAGACTTTCTGACCCCAGAGTTCATTAACAAGTCAGCCTTTGAGAGGCAAAAAAGAGTTATAGGAAACACAAATGAGCATCCAGGGTCACAGCTAAAACTTTTAGAACTTTAACCTCTGTTTGTAAAGTGTGACTAATAAGGAATGGTAAATCATTTTCCTAGAAAGGTAAACCAGCTGTTAAAAGTGTGTCAGGAAATTTTATATGTTTGTTATAGCCTTATTTCCCTTCTAATTTTTGATGACTTGTGCTCTTTTAAAATATTTTCTATTTTTTTTTCTTTTCAAAAAGTAATTGTTATTTTAAAAATTTCTGTTGGTACACGTTTGCAGTACATAATGATTATATTCCATGTGGGATACTGGTACATGTACACAACACATCTTAATCCTTTTGTCATCTCTTGGTCCCTGTCCCTTGGGTAAAAGATCTTTCTCCCTGGTTTTTTTTATTATCTACCTTTTATTCTGCACTTTAGTTACTTATACTTTGGGTTTTTCATATTAATCATGTGACATTTAAGCTTGTGTGTCTGACTTATTTGACTAACACTATAGTCTCAAAGGATATCCATTTTCCTACAGATGGCTCAAATTTATCATTTTTTAAGGCAGAATAGTACTCAGTTGTGTATAAATGCCACATTTTCTTTATCCATTCGATAGACATCTGCTAGAGGTTCATTATAAAGCATTAAAACATTTTAGAAAAACTTAAAGAAAAATTAAAAAGCTCTATAAATCCTGCTATTCCGAGATGGCTGTTAAATCCCTTTCTTCCCCTACCCTTGCTCACTATTTGGGATTTAACCCAGGATATTTGCACTGAGCTGCATCCCTTGGTTGGACTCAGATTTCTGATTGTCTTGTCTCAGCCTCCCAGAGGGCTGGAATTGCAGGTATGCTCTGTTAAATATTTTATATTTCCCTCACCAAAACCAGATCCTCCCATAATCATCCTCCTGGTAAATGGCAGTTTAGAAGCTCTGAAATAATTTTCTCTAAAAATCTTTGTGCAATCCACTAGCAGACTTTGTTCATTCTCCTTGAAAAGAAAAAAGAAAAATCAGTATCTAGTCAATTCACACTGGCCTTATCCATATTATCCAGGACCAAGCACCATCCTCTTTTGCCTCGTCTTAGAGAAAAGTCAACATATAAAAATTTCATACATATAGTTTCATATTTCACATTTTAACCAATGTTCAAGAGGTACACTTGTAGAAAAATGGATGTAGTTTGAGGTCATAATCTTACGTGATACAAATTAAACACAGGAGCTTAAATATTGCATGGTTTCCTTTACAAGAGGACCATAAAGTGCAAATAGTTAAAGGCAAAATAAAAGATAACAGGAAATAGAGAGATAGATTTTTTGCAAAAGGGAAGGCAACGAAGGGAAGGAGAAGGAAGAGGGGAGAAAAAGAGGACAAAAAGGAAGATGTCTTTTGTTTTGGTACCAAGGATCAAACTCAAGACTGCACACTTGCAAGGCAGGCGCTTATGCCATTGAGCTAAATCCCTAGCCCCGAAGATGTCTTTTGTAAGTGAATGAACTCTCCATGAGGAACGCAATCATTATGCACTGAAAATTGTACCAATAAAAACAAACAAACAAACAAACAAACAAAGAAGTATCATTTATCAGGTCTTTTGGTAGCATCAAAGACTATTCATAATTATGAAAACACTCCTTCACTTTTTCTATTATATTTCTGTGAGGCTAGATTGTCTTCATTTACTTCAGCTAAAACAACATATCATAATAGACACTTTGAGCTTACTGTAAAAAGGAGATAAATGAATCTAGCTAGATTTTTATTAAGATTGATATAAAGTCTAAGTACAAAATGTAAAATAATGCCACTTTCACTATTTTTTTGCTTTAAAAGGTAATTTTTCATGAGAAATCATATTTATGTTGACATACTGTATCTAATTTTAAGTGAGGTAAATACTTGAGATTCTCATTTTTAGTCAATATGGAAAATATTAATACAGTAACTGTCATGGTTTATGTCTGTGTCCCCCAGGCCTCATGAGTTTGCATTGTGTATGTGTGATGGTTCATTGTCTAGTGCTTGGATTAATGATGTCAGTGCTCCACCCACATAGGGGTGGAGTCAGGATGTGATGTAATGGCAGGAAGAAGGTGTGTCTTGTTCTTGGCTGGTTCGGGCTTGCTGTTTGCAGCAGCCATGAACGGCAGTCCTGCCATGCCCGCCTGCGTTGGAGCCAACTGAGTACAGAACTGTAAGAAATAAACCTTTCCTTTCCCAACTTTGGGCTTCAGGTATTTTGTCTCAGCCACGAGTAAAAAGTAACTAAGACAGTAACTAACAATGACTACTGAACCAATGGTATAATGGTTTTCTTTTTAATCAGTGTGAACTCCAGAATTCTCACTATAGTTCACAAATGCCCTGCAGATCTGACCTCATTTTCTCTACAATCTCTATTCCCTCCTCTCTGAGACCTCATTTTCCAACCATCTCCTTCCATCTTTCTTACAACAGCCTCTTTGATTTTTTTCCTTGAACACACTAGTAACTTCCAACATGAGAGCCTGGGTAGTTGATTTCCTTAGTGTTTGGAAAAAACTCTTTCAGAAATCCTATGGTTCTCTCCCATTAATTCTTTCTTTAAACGCCATCTTAGCCATGTGCTGACTATCATATAAATAGTACAAAACACTACTCTGCCTTTTTCTTCCTTCAGTATGCTTTATTAGTTTTTTTTTTTTTTAAAGCAGTTATTACCTCTGGATTTATATCTTTAATTGTCAGTCTTGAGTCAAAGTCCCTCCTCTTTTGTCCACTGCTATATGTTCAATAAATAGAAACAAGTGGTGATAACTTAATGTATTTATATTTACTTTTCTTTTGTAAATTCTTGATTATATTCACCAAGTGTTTCTCAACAATAACATTTTTAAACAACGTTAAGTACATTTTATCCTAAAAAAAAAAGAAAAAAAAAAGTGCAGAAATGACAGAAAAACTAGTATTAGAGAAATCACATTCATACCTGACACACTCTGAGAGCCTGGTCCAAGACTGTTTTGGTATCAGTGTCATAGTCTGGGCAGGGCAGCATGGCTCGGCTGAGATGTGCCTGGAGCAGGAGATGTGCTTTGGTGTGAGGACTGTCAAATGAATGAGGATTTAATTCAATAGGAAGACATTTTGCCAATTCGCTGTTCATATGATCTTCATTGTGTCTTACTGGCAAATCTGTATATTCTTTTGCATCCTGAAACAAAACAAAACAATCCATGTACGTATGCTAAATTAGAAGTAAAATAATGCTTACCTTTTCTGCTAACTTTTAAAACTTGGTTCAGAAAAACCATAAATAACCATATCCCTTAGACTTCTGCACTGTTTAACACTATCAAATATATAAGCAAAAGACAGTAATGTACAGTATGTCTGAAATTCATGAATATTCTTATATTTACATACTCAACAAAAATAACAGAGAGATCCCTAAGCATTACACATTCAATGACAGTGGTCACAGCAGTGCACCAGAAACAGAGACACTGAAGAAGGTAAGCAAATTATATAAACTGCAATGAATGCTACGGTATGCTAAGTTCACTATGCTAAAGTGATAATAAGTTCAGGGAAGCTACCTCTTTTAGAAGTTCACAAAAAATTGTTTTTTGGAAAAAACAACAAAAAATCAATATTTAAGATCTAGAGAATGGGAAAAATAAAGCAGGTGTGGAAAAAGTGTTAAGAATAGGAATAAAGAACAAATGAAGCATATAAAGTATGTTTCCACATCATCAATAATATTAACAGTCACCAACAGAAAGATCACTGGAAAATGAAAGCAAGATTTTACACTTGAACCTAAGTATCACCAATCATGTTAAATTCAAATGAATTCTGAGATTGTCTAATAGATCATGACTGAACTATATGCAGCTCCGTGAAACACATCATACAGACAAATATACTAAAACTAAAAAAAAAAAAAAGATATGCCACATTAACAGTATTCAAAAGAAGGGAATGACTATATTAATTTCAGAGCAAAGAGTATTTCTAAGGACAAACATGATTATCTTAGGAAAGGTGTAAGAGTCAGTGAGACGGACACAACAATCTGAAACATTTATGATCCAAATAATACACTTTCAAAATCCATGGAGATAAACTGGTAGAAGTATATGGATAAACTGAAAAATTCACAAGTGGAGCAAAAGATTTGAACACGTAACTTAGAAAAACTGGCAAAACAACTAGGTAACTGGGGACCATAATTTAGTGGTAGAACACTTGCTTAACATGTAAAAACCCCTGGGTTCAATCTCTAGCACACACACAAACAAAACAAAATAAAAAATCAAACCCAAAAAATGAAACTCAACAAAACAAAACAAAACCACAACTGATAAAAATCAGCCAGGATAGGAAAGAATTGAACAACACAGGTGGCTAAATTACTGAAATTTATAGAATATTCCACCCCATATCTGTTATATAAATAGTCATTATTATCAAGAGCACTGAACATTTATTGATACAGATCAAACTGTGGGGTATGAAACAAGTTTCAAGTCATACTCTTACCACTCTAAAAATCCCTTCTAAAAATCCCCAACTATTAGAAACTAAACAACACACTTCTAAATAGTCCAAGAATCAAAGGAGGAGGGAAAAAAAGGCAATTAGAATGTATCTTGAACTGACTGGAAGAAAATAATGCATCAGAATTATAGAATGTTACTAGGATAAGACTTAGGGGAAATTTTTGTTTTGTTTTATTTTGCTTTTTGAGACAGGGTCTCATTAGATAGCTCAGGCTGGCATTGAACTCACTGTATAGATTAGGCTGTTCTCTAACTCATGACAATTCTTTTGTCTCATCCTCCTGAGTGCTGAAATCATAGGCATGTGCCACCAGGCCTAGCTCAGGAAAAATTTTAAAAACTGAATATATTAGACTTGAAGAAATGTCTCAAATCGATGGCCTTAGTTTCTGCCTTAAGAAGTTAAAGCAAATGCAACTAAATATCCTTTAAAAGAGGATAGAAAATAACAAAATCGTGAAGCAAAATTACTGAAATATGAAACAATAAAGAAAATCAGTAAGACTAAAATCTTGTTCTTTGAGACATCAGTAACAGATAATTCTTTAGCTGAGATCAGGAAGAAAAAGAGAACATATATACCAATATTAGGCATAAGGGCATAACTATAAATTTTTCAGATACTAAACGAACAAAAAAATAACAAATAATTTTATGCTTTTAAATATAAAAACACATAAAGTGAACAATTTATTTGAAAGACCCAAACTACCAAAATTTGCTCAGGAAGAAAAAAACCCCAAATCCCTGTATGTATTAGACAAATAGACTTTATTTAAAAAATTCTCACAAGGAAAATTCCATGCCCTGAAAAACTCCTCAGTGAATTTTGCGGAACACTTAAGGAAGAATTAAAATCAACTTTATATTAATTTTTCTAGATGAGTAAAGAGGAAAAAATGCTTCCCAACTAACTCAGTGACACCAGCATTGCCCTTCTGACAAAAATTCAACAATGACATCAAAGGACAAGAAAATCTCTGACTAGGGAGGGGAAGGCCAGCATTTCCCAAGAATCCACCATGCTGGGACTGGGAGAAGCCACCATGAAATCAACGAGCCAGCCTTTCTTGTAAGCTGGGTAAATTGTGCAGGTTCCAGGGAGAGAAAAGTCAGACAGTGCTTCCCATGAGCCTATGGACACTAATTTGTGCCCCTTCTCTCTTGCCCCTCCTTGTAAGCAACCTACTGGTTCAGATCACAGGCTGAGTTGATAGAAACTAAGGTACATAAAGCAACTAAATGCTTGTGTTGTTTGGTTGATTTTGCAGACTTGGGGCTGGCGGTCTGAGCATCTCTTGGGAGGATGATAGTATATGGGGATTTCCTTCTATCTTGTCTTTGAAGTTCAATATTGTTTTCACTGTTTTGCTTTGTTCTACTTAATTGTTTTGCTTTATTTGATAGTGTTTTAATGATTTTATTCTGTTTTGTTTTTGGTTTGATTTTGCTATACCAGATGGAATGGACAACTACTGTGAAGATAACAAGATACACTATTGTAGCTATCATTTTCCTAGTATTGTACTTTGAAGTTCTGTACCAATTTTGCTACGCTGTTTGTTCTGTTTTCTTAGATTTTATTATCTTTAAAATATTTAAAAAATCTTTGACTAAAGTTACTTGCCAACATGCAAGAATTCTACACAAATTCAATTCTAAATGTAGAGACAATAATAGACCATGACCATATATAGTTTCTTCCAGGAATGCAGAATTTATTCAAAAGTCCAAAAATCAATAAATATAATTCATCTTATTAATAATCTTACAAAGAAAAAAAAAGGGTCATCATAGTTGATGCAGACAAAATCTTATGAAGTTCAGTGTACACTACTTGCAAATGACTCTCAGCAAATGAGGAGCACCCTTTGACATGTCTGAAGTTTCTACCACGAACAGTAAAACAATAATGAAAGAGTGAATGCTTAATCCCTATCATAAATGTAGAAAAATCTGATGAAATCTATAATAACTTACTAGAACTAAAAAAAAAAAAAAAAAAAAGTTTAGCAAGGTTACAGGATACAAGATCAATATAACTGGAAAACTCTATTACTATCAAATTATTTAAAAGTGAACCTGAAAATAAGATGTAAAAACCTATACACTGAAAGATGAAACACTGCTAGGATAAACCGAAAAAAGTCCTAACTAAATGGAGAAATACAGAATATACTGACTTTCTTCAAATTCATCTTTAAATTTAATTCCAATTAGGCTGGGGATTTAGCTCAGTGGCATAAGTGCCTGCCTGGCAAGTGCGAGGTCATAAGTTTGATCCCCCGTACCACAAAAAAAAAAAAAAAAAAAAAAAAAAAAATTCCAATCAAAACCACACAAGGCCTTTCTAAAATTAATTAATTATTGATAGTGCCTTAGTTACTTTTTATTCATCGCTGAGACAAAATACCTGATGCACCAAGTTGGGAAAGGAAAGATTTATTTCTTACAGTTTTTGGGGGTTTCAGTCCATACTCAGTTGGCTCCAAGACAGGCTGGCATGGCAGGGCCACAGTCATGGCGGCTGCAAATAGCAAGCCAGAACCAGCAAGAGAACGAGACACACCTTCTTCCTGCCATTAAATCACATCCTGGCTTCACCTCTAGGCCAGTGTAGCACTCACACCCCCAATACAAGTGCTAGACAATGAACCAGTCACAAATGCACAATGCAAATGCATGAGGTCTGGGGCCACCAACATAAACCATGACAGATAGAAATTGACAAGCTGAGTCTCAAATTTATAAAGCTATACCAAGAATTCAGAAAGCCAAAACATAGAAAAAGGAGTTCAGAGTTGAAGAGTAAGTACTATTTAAGTTTGAGACTCACTATAAAAGTATACTAATTAAAAAATAGTGTTAATATTGAAATACAATAGGTTAGAAACACAATCATGTGAACAACTGATATCTGACCAATGCTTATAGGCAAAGCAATGGAGAAAGAATTTTTCTTTTAAGCAACGATAAAACAATTGAGTATCCACATGCCCAACAGGTGAAGGAAGATTGGAAGGAAGAGGAGGAGGAGAAGATAGAAAGAGGAGAAGAAAAGAGGAGGGAAAAAGGGGAGGACAAGGAGAAAGATGAGAAGGAAGAGGACAAAAAGGAAGAAGAGAATGAAAAGGAAGAGGAGGGGGAACTGAGACCTAGTGTACATATAATAAAAAAATTCACTCAAAATGCATCATAGGCCTAAATCTCAAATCTAAAATTATAAAACTTCTAGTATAAAACAGAAAATTTTGTTACTTAGGACCAGGAAAATTTTTTTCAATAGGATAGTTAAAACATAACACATAGAGGCTGGGGATTTAGCTCAGCGGCATAAGCAGCTGCCTTGCAAACAGGCGGTCGTGATTTCGATCCATGGTACTGATAAAAATGAAAAAAGACAAAAAAAAAACACATAAAAGAAAAACATGATAAACTGAGTATCTCAAAATAGAAACTTCTGTTTCTAAAAAAGATACTGCTAACAGAATAAAAATATGAGTCACAGTCTAAAAATATTTACAAAGCATGTAACTGATCAGAACTTGTATCCAGAATATGCAAAGACCTCTAAAAATTCAACAATGAGAAAACAAATACCTATTTAAAAAATGGACGAAGCAAGTACTTTGTGTAAAGTTATATAATA